AATGAACATTAAGATGTATGTTAATTGGTTAACGTCTATAATTCAGCACTGATGGTTTTAGTCATTTAGACAAAAAATCTTGACAAACCTTGCCTTATTTCCAATCAGATGTCTGGTAGCTGAATGACTTGTGGAGTTCGCAAGGGCTAAGACATGATGAGCAGATTTGATTTTGTTCTTGCATTTTGTATTTGGAAACAAATTGTAGATAAATAGAGAATTTTTACCACTAGATAATGAGTTCATCTAATGGAAACATAAACAGTGAGTTTAATTCTGAAACTAGCTATATTGGTGTATTTTGGCTGTCTGTTCCTTCAGGCTCATGGGATTTTGTACATTCTCAGTGTTCCCAGCAGAAACTGGAACTTCTGTAAATAGGCTAGCTTGGTCCAGGTGAAATATCATGGAAAAGCTGAGCACTTGTTAAGCTTGCTGCCAGGATTTCTTAAAATATTTTTTCCTGAATGTTTCAAAAATTTAATTCTGTTTCTTATTTGCTCTCCACTGACTAGCTCGAGACCAGTTGTTCACTTTCTCACCAGCATGAGATTCAACCCTGAGAGAATAGTAATTTTCCAGAACAGCAGCAGCATTGTTACAGCAAAACTGTGTTTCAATATAACCTCAGCCTTACCAGTGTCTCAACAAGGTAATAAATGGGAATTGTGATCAGACTAAAATCTATGGTCCTACACCATATTAGAAACTTGGCATTGTGGACAATTTCTGGTACATCTGAAAAGAATTTTGAAAATCTTGCATATTGTATCTCAGCCTAAACTTTCAGATCCTTTGTAGGGTGCATGAGCAGGCAATGTAGGGGTCATTGGAAAAGCTTTTCCATTTTGCTTGGCTTGTGGGAAGATGTTGGAAATATATCACCATGTTTTTTTCCTCCTTTGTGAATGCTGGAGCTACAGATCCGAACTCTGTTCCCCTTCATTCACTGATGCTTTGCAATTGCTTTGTTCTGAGCACACAAGAAATTTCTGTCTGTGTTTCCAGTGTTTTCACAGTTACATATTCTCTACACGGTGGACTTAGATGTGAAAAAGGCAAAGAAGAGATTACAGTTTAAGGATCAGAACACCACAACAAGTGGAAAGCTCTTAGTCAGAGAGCACACATGCTCTGAGCTGCAGCTTTTCACGCTGGTAGGTGATGTTGGTCAGACTCACTACAGAAAGAAGGGTTAAGAGAAGAGGATTTTTAACAGAATCTGCATGATGATTAATCTCCCTTGAAATGCAAAATTACTATAATTGGGTGGTTTTTCTGGGTGTTAGACTTGCTAAGCATGTTTTATAGCTGAGGGGAATGTGTACCATCTTGATTTGTATTCCGATAAATCAAACTGTCATCCTGTTGGGTTTGTGTGAAGTATTTATAATGCAAGAGTTGTCAGAGAGTCATGAAACTCTAAAGGATTTAAACAAACATAAAGGAAACCATTTTTTACAATGTATAACTGAATCGGTGAATGCATTACCCAGAGGATGTCATGGGAGCCAAATGTATAAAATCCCTCAAAAAACATTTGGCAAATTTATGGTCCACTGATGGCTATTAAAATCAGTGGCCTAAAGGTAACATCTGAGTCAGAAGGTCCCTAAATATGCCACATGACAGAAGCTGTAACATGTAATGTGTGAAGACTGTTTTGCATTTTAATATCCAGATATTTTATCAGTTTCATGTTCTTCCTTTCTTGTAGCCATGTGACTTCGACTGTTTTTCCAATGTTTATCTGAGAGTTAAATATGAGCTCTGTGAGAAAAATGATCGTACGGAGTTTGCTGTTCCTGTGCTTGATAAATATCAGCCATCAGAAATGCATTTTCAGGTAATAAAATACTGAAGAGCTCTTCTCTTTCCAGAATGCAAAGCGTTTACTATTAAAAAGAATAATAATCATGTTTTTCTTAGCCTTTGTATGTTGCCTTCTCCCCTCTGCTAGCTTTTCTAGTTATCATTATTGTATTCCAGGTAGACTTTAGGCCCAGGTTTCCCCCAAACAGATACTATTACCCTTTTAAGAGAATCTCCTCTCTAGGATCCAACCTTTTACTTCTGACTACATTCCTCCTGGGTCTCTGTTTAAGATGAGATTAGATGCTACATGTGAAGAAGGCAGATTGGTTTTATGTTTTGTGAAGTACTTTTCATCATTTGAATGGTGTACTTAGTAGTAATACCTACAAAATTTTTGAGTGAATGGATTTTAAAAATATTTAAAATTAGGTATACATATATAATTTGTTTAGATTTACTCGTTTCAAAGCAATAGTTGTAATGCTGCAAACTCCCAATGAACTGAACCTCTAAGTTTGAGATCCTGTTTCCGCACTTGCAGTTCAGGACACGTTAATCTGGCCCTTTTTCACAGTTACTCTAAAATCCAAATCACAAAGCTCTGTAAAGAGGCATCTTTGGCTGCTTAATAGGTGTCTTAAACCACAATTCAATATTTAATTAGCAGTCAATAAAGCGTAGGACAGAAAAGTTAGTATCACACTTAGCACTGAGTGATAATGAACACTAATTACCATAGTTGCCATAGTCTTAGACATTATGATGATACATTTATATCCTAAGAATAATTCATGAGATTGACTGTTGGTCAGTTTTGCTTATTACTTGTGTACCCCAAAGCTAACTATTAATTTTCACTGAACTTCTGCAGAAACATCACCCACAGACAGATTTTTATTGTTGAATAAAACTATTGCTAAAGGAAGTAACCTCATCGCTACAAAATAGTGAGCCTATAAAATGGCATACATATATCATATGAAAATGTTTATTCAAGAAAAACACATTGTCCCTGAAAATTAACATTATTGTCCTGTGGCAATCTAGGTATAAACAACTGGCAATTGTTTAACAAGACCTTACCCCCGCTGAAGACTTTATGTCCTAATGAAATCAGAACTTTTCCTGGGAGTTAAATTACAAACTGCACTACTTACTACATCACTAGAGGGTCCTTTTTGTCCAACTTCTCCTTAACTGAGGTCAAGGGAATTTTGATTTTCAGAGAAGGACCCCTGTATGTATGTGTATACGTAAAGATATGTTAAACCTGCTACCTTGGAAAAATCAGGACTGTTAAATTTTAACTTGATCTGTGTTTGCTTTCAGTTGCCTTACAAGAAGGACTGCAACAAGACCATCTGTACTGCTCATTTAACTTTGACAAGTCAGATTCAGTGAGTCAAAGTAGTTGTATTACTTGGATTTTTTTTTATTTAGCATTCATATAACAGGCCATCTTTGTGCATAAGGCATTTTGTTTACTTCATTGTAAAAAGTCACCCTGGAGACTCACTGGAAAATTAATCAGCTGGAACAATGTTTAAAAGCTGTTGATGTAAAAGAGAAACGAAAAAATGTTACCTAAAGTTTGGAGATAACTGCTTTCAATATTAAGAAGAAAGCATTTTCTTACACACCCTGAACAATAATGAATAATTAATTGAGCTGTTGCATTATCCTGTGTGTGAAAGTACTTCAAGGGAGTTATTACCAGAACCAAAATAGGTCTCTTATTTAAAAACAAACTTCAAGAAATTACATGTAACTTCTTTTACACGAAGCCTAATATTTTTCTCTCTGCTTCTAGAAACGAATTAGTGGTGGGCTACACTAAAGAAGTGTCCATGAATTTTTTACTAAATAACAGTGGAGATGACTCATACATGACAACTATGGTCTTGTACTATCCTAAAAATCTCCATTTTAAGAAGGTGACAGCTGAGGTAAGATCACAAAACAACCGTTCAGCTAGTTGCAGAAAGAAAACAGTGCTGAAAGAAAACACAACTCTGCCTCCCATTCATTTACTACCTAAGTGAATCTTGAATAAAGGTTGGGGGAGGGACAGTATTTTAGTTGTCAGAAATACAGCCTGAATTACTAGATTTATCTAAGACTCCCAAGGTTTTATTGGGCTACTTGCACCTAATTCATTTTATGGGAGCAGACAGAATTGAATTTCCCAGTTTATTTTTATTGCTATTGAAGAGCATCCTTGTTCTGTTGGCAGCCATCCTCTCCTGCTGTTCACTGTGGCCTGCCAATACAATTCACTTCTGTGGAGATATCCTTGAACTGCAGAATTGGGCATCCAGTATTCAAGAAGACAACAGTAAGTGGAGATGATAATTTTCATTTTTCCCTTCCTCTAAATGGTACTTTGAGTAGCTGTGCTGGCATCCCCCACCTTTACAGTTAAGCCATAGCATCTCTTCTTTCAAATTCAGCTTATTACCCACATGCATTTTCTCAAGACAAGTGATAGTTTCCAAATTCCTGCACTTTAACTCTTCCAGAAAGGAATGCTGAGCAGAAAATACATTAGCTATCATGTTTTAACAGTATCCTGGTGAGTTAAAGACTGTATTTACAGGTAATCAATATTTTGTTATATCTTTCTCTTTCCTCAAAATAGGCAACGTTCTCCGTGATTTGGCAATTAGATGAAAGTGTATTCCCAAATAAATCTGCAATCACTGTTAATATCACCAAGTGAGTATTGCTATTTTCAACACAAAATACACTGTAAAAGAAATTCTGTAATTCCTATTCAGTATCCATACTATTTATCTGTCACTAGTTTCACAAAATTGTACTTGTCCTTTTCAATCTCCTAAAGCATTTGGACCCATATAAAAAATCTTTCCTTTATTATTTTAGCTTTGCTCTTACTTCATTATTTCAGTAAAAGATAGAATATCCCTTAAGTTCCTAATTTAAGTATAGTATGTATTTAAAACCTTGTGTTTCCTAAACTGGAAAACTTGGTTCTGACATCCTCCTTCGTTATCAGAGAAAACAGATGAGTAACATAATCCAGCTCTGTTCCAAGTAGAACTATTATTCCAAATAGTCAGGATGAGGATGTATTCAAGTTATTTTTCTCGATCAGGGCTTTCTAATACAGGGAAGTTACTATTCCTTTCTTGTCACATTCCTCTCATTAACTTGAATGGGACTGATTAGCACACAGCACTTTATTAAAAAGCATTTTTAAAAAGGAAATGAGGACTCATCTCTGGCAACTTCACTGCAAGTACACTTTAAGGCAAAGGTTTATACATGAGTTTAATGTCCAGATTTTTTGAAGGGTGAGAAGCTTTTAAATTTTGATTAATTAAGGCATTATTACGTATTCACAAATGGGAATATGTGGAGAAATATTCCAAGGCAATGGCAGCTTCCAAAATCCATAGTAATGAAGGGCTACTCCAACATTACTGCAGTATGTTAACCCACAGGAGAGCAGGATGGCACCCCTTCTTTCATAAGTTACTGCCATTCCGTGTTTCCATCCCTCTTGTATAGCAAATATCCACAATCTGGCAACCATAGAAATAGAAAACCAAGGCAGGCAGATAATAAAGCTGTTTCATCAAATTATTTTTTTTTCTTTTAAAGCATAAATGAAAATACCACCATTCTGACTGAAAAACATGTCCTTGATGTCAGATATGCGTTCACTGCAGTTCTTACCAAGTAAGTTTTAAGAATATTCAATTACATTATATTACTTTAGTCAATTAGAGGAAAAAAGGGTTGAGAGGATGCCTGGTAGGATTCCAGCACAATTTCCATCTTAATAGTTTCAAGCATTGCAGGTTGTCAAGTTGCTTTCTGTGGTATAAGACAGCAAAAGTAAAGAGTCTGGAAGATGGAACAACAAAACATCATAGGCAGGGAGATAACTAGGGTCAAATATAAACCCTTAACTATTTAACTGATTTAAAAATACCTTCAAGATTGCTTCAAGGATGCATCTAATTGATAGACTGCATATATGCCCATATACAGACTGTAACTAACATTCCTCTTTAACAAATTTGATCATGCTACCTCCTTATTACTTAATGCATGTGGATCACTGGATGTACTGATGTTCAATAATAATTAAATTCAATGTTCACTTAGTTTTAATTTATCTTCCTCTGCAGGCCAGTGTCTTTAATGTACATGAACGTTCGCCAAGGACTACTTGAAAACAAGGAATTTAAATTTAATGTAAGTATAGCTTCAAATTTAGTTCATCTCATCTGTCTGCAATCAGGACTAAAGAACACTTACCTTGTGCATTTTCTTCCGTAGATAAATGGAGAAAATCGCTTTAATGCTACCATCAAGTTACAGATTTGGGTTCCTGTCATTGTACAAGGTCAGAACATAGCAACTGTGAAAAATGCATCAGGAACACAGGTACTTCCTGTTTGTGTTTTGTTTTTTTGTTTTTGTTTTTTTCCCCATAACACAATACCTCTTCGCTGGCCCTTACAGAGGAAAAAAGGTTGTATTATTGCAGATTAAGATTTTTTTTTAAAAACTACACTACAGAAACTTCAGGAAATTTTATAGCATTATTCCAAGTACATGTTGGGCCAAACTGAGCAAAAGTTCGTTTTAAAAACTAAGTCAAAAGGTAGGTGTTCTCTCCCTTTCTATCCCTAACTGGGCTAACAATATTTACCTTTGTCTATCTTTTTGTTTGTTTATTTGAATTTGTAAGAAATAAATATAGTAAGGGAAGAGCTTCTAATAATCTAAGTGGAATTCAGGACATGAACTAATAAGCCTGAAGAGATCTTTTCCCCCCACCTCCAATGTCAAGTCTGTTCCCTTTCACCCTCACCCCTCAAAAAAGTACATATGGAAACATCTTAAAGCAGGTGGCTTTTTTTGTGCATTTTTACACATTTTTCATACTGGTAACTGATTGTAACATTTCTTCATCATGTCAACATTTAAAAAGACCATAGAGAAAAAAGACAAAGGAGAAAGGGGCATCAGTGACTTAGTTCTTGGAAGCATTGTGCTCCTTTACTCACTGGAAGAGGCTGCTGCTATGCAAAACTTCACTGGCAGACCCAAAGGTCAATACTTCTTTACGGAACTTAATGAGCTGCTGCTTTATTTTTCTCAAGACAGAATTTGATTCTTTTTTCTTGTAAACCACATCTTTCAAAAGTTTATCTGACAAATAGTGCAACCAGAGGACATTGCTGTGTGGATGATAGTCAGTCCAGCTGTTGGAGTTCTCTGCTTTCATTTGCCTGTAGATATCAAACTGGTAGTCTCCCGTGCCTTGGAACAGCTCTTCGTCAGTGGAAAGGTCACAAAATACAGTTAACCCATCTTTCTCCAGACGAGACAAGGTATAATCTATGATGTTGACATGGATCCCACGTGTGGGGATTGTGCACGTCGTCCCATTTAACACATAATTAAGCTCTTTGACATCTGTTTTCTTTACCAGCACATTCCCCCAGTGTAAGTCTCTGTGCTCAAAGTGCAGTTCCTGTTCTGCCACAGCCAGGGAAGCAGTCACCTGGTGCAAAATGCTTTTTGCTGAAGCCACCGAATTCAATCTTTTTCTCATGTTCTCCAAGTCACTGCCTCCAAATTCAAACTCCAGAACCATGAAGAGTTGCTCTTTCCCAAAAAGGTCTGGCCGATCATTTTCTGATCCTGTTACTTTATCATATTTGTCCCAAGCTTCTAAGAGATGCTTAGGATAGGCCCCTTGAACACAGTGCACAGAGTACAAGCTAACAAACCCTACAGTCCTGTTCACAGACTCTTCAGACAGAAGACTGAGTTCCTTTGAAATTATTATCTCTGGTAGAATCTCTCCAAAGCTTTTTTGAGCTTCACCATTCACTCTTTCAGTCCCCTCAATGGGAATTATTTTTAAGGCCACAGGTCCTCTATTACTGTCAATCTGGAAAACCTCTCCGAACACCCCTTCTCCAATTTTCTTGCAATCTTTCATCTTATCTAAAGGAATGCATTCCTCAAAAGTGATAGGTCTCTCCTGCTGGCATTCCCCCAAAACCTTCTCTGCATCTGTAAGCATTACCTCCAGGCCTGAACAGGCATTCCTGGGAACCAGCAGTATCATGGAGGAAGCAGATAAAGCACAGTACTGAGCCATACTAGAATTTGGGGTTGCTTGGTGCCCTGTAACCTCGGAATTCACAGAAGGGGTACAAAGGATGCTATTGTAGGAACACTCGTCTGCAGTAACTTTCTTTTTCTTATGGAAGTACAAAGATGCTCGAAGTCTACCCCAGGCATAGGAGTTATTGAGGAATGAACAATCGTTGTCTCTTGTATCTACAGATATTTCCCGACCACCCTTCTTCCTTCCTTTTGGTCTTAGTTGGGGTCTGAAAGAGGAGTTATTAGCCTGCTGCTGTCTCTTATTTTTGAGTCTTTGGGGACAGAGCCTCATTTGTCTATCCCACCGCTTGGCACTGAAGCCACTGATGCAAGCTCTTCTACAGGCACTTCCCTCTGCAGAACCGACCTTGGTGCGTTTGTTTTTATACTCCACCGTTCCTTGAGGGCCTAAAGGTGACGCTGGCTTCTGGCAGGAAGGCTGAGCACCTGCCTTCTTGTCAGCTTTCATGCTCGTCAGCCACAGCGGCACTTCCTGACGGTTCAAGACCACCACCGGCGTTGACTGGAGCTTGGTTTTCCCTCCCTGAGCGCTCAGGCTTCCTTCTGCTGAACCTCCCTTTACATCATCGCCTGGCTCTTCGGCCCTGCCACCACCACAGGGGGTGGAGTGCAGGGGCTCACCGCGAGCGGGAGGAACACTTGTGCTTTGCTGCAGGAACAGGGCTCCCCTCACGGACGCCCTCAGAACCCTGCCGGCCCTTTGTGGCGACGCCTCCACCTCCGCCTCTCCCCTCAACGACTCGGGTGTGCCGGGCTCGCTGCCGAGCGAGGCGTCCTGCCCCCCTCCGGGCGACGAGAAGAGCTCCAGGCTGCCCTGCAGCCCCGAGCCGCCCCCCTCCAGTCTCAGCTCGGCCGGCGGCGTGCGGCGGCTCCGGCAGGGCGCCCACTGCGGGGTGCTGCAGAGCAGGGGGCGCCGAGCCCCGCGGGACGGCCCCTGGCGGCGGCGGGCGGCGCGGGGAGGCAGCGGGGAAGGCGACGGGGAGCTGAGGGCGGGCGGCCGGTTCTCCTTCCCATCCTTCTCCTGCGTGGCGGCGCCGCGCCGGCTCCGCAGACACCGAGCCCGGGCGGGGCGCTCACCCAGCGGCTGCCGGCGGCGTTTGCCGGGCGGAGAGAAATCGGGGTCGTCCGAAGCGGCGGAGAGGGCACTGGAGCAAGCGGAGCTGGAGCCGGCCGAGGTGGAACTGAAGAGCCGCCTGCGGTCCTGAGGCGGCGAAATCCAGCGGGAGGGCTGAGGCAGCGGGCGGAGGTGGCCGCCGCGCCGCGAGTACGTGCGGAGGAGCCGCGGCTGCAGCGGCATGGCCGGGCCGGGCCTGCCTGAGGGGAGCCGCCGAGCCCGCCCGCCCGCCGCCGTTTCAAACGGGGCCTCGCGAGACTGCGGCGGGCGGGAGCGGGGCGGGGCGGGCACGGGCTCAAAATGGCCGACGGTGGAAGGGAGGCGGGGAGAGGAGGCGGTCCCTGCCCCATGTTGTGAGAGGGGTCGCTCCGAGCGCCTTGGGCAGGGCGGTGTCCAGCGGGGTTTGTATTTCCCTAGAGGAGAATCCGCAGCCTCTCTGGGCAGCCTGTCCCAGCGCTCTGTCCCCCTCACAGCAAAGTGACCCCCTCATATTGAGCCAGAACCTCCTGTTTGTGCCTCTTGCATCTCATCCTGTCACTGGGCACGACTGAAAAGAGTCGGGATGCATCCTCTCAACACACTCCCTTCAGATCTTTATGTATATTGACATGGTCTCCACTCAGTCTTCCCTTTCCCAGGGTAAACAGGCCTGGTACAACAGCCTGGCCTTGTACAACAGGTGCTCCAGTCATCTAATCATTTTAGCTCTCATCTGAGCTCACTCCAGTAGTCCCATGGGCCTCTTGTACCGGGAAGCCCACAACTGGACACAGCACTCCACGTGTGGCCTCATCGGGGCTGAGATAATCAGTGATAGGACTAGAGGGAATGGCCTCAAGTTGCATCAGGAGAGGTTCAAGTTGGAAATTAGGAGACGTTTCTTCTCAGAAAGAGCAGTCAGGCATTGGAATAGGTTGCCCAGGGAGGTGTTGGGTCACCAGCCCTGGGGGTGTATATGGAAAGGTTGGACGTGGTGCTTGGGGACGTGGTTCAGTGGGTGGTATTGGTGATAAGGGGAATGGTTGGACCAGATGATCTTGAAGGTCTTTTCCAACCTTAATGATTCCATGATTCCTCTGGGATGGGGCTTTCCTCTGGGCTGGGGCTGTCCTGGCCTTTGCAGCGATACCACACCGCTCTGTACATGCATCGGCATCGTGGTCAAGGCACTGAGCTGTAACTGTTCAATTTCAGGGTACAACAGAGTGCAGAATCAGCGATGAACTGGTGCTTCATCTAAGGGACTATTCCAACAGCACAGAACTAGAGGTGAGCCAGGTTGGTCCTTGCTGCTGTTGCAGCAGTTTACCACAAGGTGACAGGGTGGGTACCCGTGTCATCCAGGGAGTTTACCCGTGGTTGACATCCCTCTCGTTGCAGGTCACTCAGGACGTGAAGTATCAGTGTGTGTATTGTTCCATCCAAGCAGATAATGAAAACATCACCGTGGCAGCTGAATTGTCCTTAATTAACGCAGACCAGGTATATGCGAAAGACCACACTTCTCTGGGTTTGTTTGCTAAAATCTGCTAGCTGCCAGAGGTTTCATGCAAGGATTTATTCTGCATCCCAGCAGAGATTTTGCTCTTCTGCGTATGATGCTATTTTCTGACCCTGTGGAGCAAAAGTGATGTTTTATTCATGGCAGAGCCTCCCAGGGGGCACTTGGCTCTTAGAAGAGCTGCTGCATTCTCCTTACTTCCTTCAGAAATTGCTGCCCGTGAAATGATTGTTCCAATACCACAAGGTTTGGTCTAGACAATTTCTCATTACTGATAGTCGCATGGAAGGAGATGTACGCAGTATTCAGCTTGGTGGCAGCACTACACAGGGTAGTTCTTGCAGTCTGAAGAAGGATTTGCTGTTGCAACATGTGACACTTTTTTTTTCCCTCCAGACAAGACTGAAAAGTAACTCATGTTTTGTGCCTTCTACTTCTTACTTCATAGTTCTTGAAAAGAAGAATTGACCTCCTGATCCCTGCAAAAATCACCTTCGACAGGCAACTATATCAGGGGCTGAGAGAAGAGGAACATAATACTGAGGTATCTGAGCATTGTGCAGGCAGCTTGTTCCTTTTTTAGGGGCAGTAACAAGTGACAAATCCAGATGGTTTTGCTGAACCCAGAGAACCAATGATGTCTCCAGAATTAAATCCTGGGCCCTTTAAAGCAAATAGCTTTTCCGCTATTGAATTTAGTAAAATCAGGTTTTGATGATAGGATGAAAACAAAGGGAGGATATTTGCTAGTGCAGATCAACAATCTGAGAAGTTCTATGTGGAACTCTGTTTATCCTCTAACATGTCTGGCTAATACAGAGACCTCTTGTCTTCTCAAGGATTTCAACATGAATAATCGTCCTCTCTCCCTTGGAAAGTCATGGTTTTTATTCTGAAAATTGTCACTGGTGACTGTTGCAATCGCTGTAAACTCATAATGAAGACTTAGTAAATTTAATTCCCTTGACTAGTCTTGGAATAATAAAAACCATAAAACAAAACAAAACAAAAAAAACTTTAATATTGCATTACAAAGTATCTGCAGAGGTAGATTAATGGGGCATCTAGCATAGAGTTTAAAGTTTGAATGCTAGCTCAAACTAAATAGCTTTCTCAGTTAAAAGCTGATGAGAAAAAGATAACCGGGCTTCAGTATGTGATAATTTGGCCTTGATTCTGTTTCAGATAACTCTTATCTTCCTGAAAGAGGAAGTGTTTGATCCTGTACCTATTGTCATACAAAGCTCTATTGGTGGACTTCTCGTGCTGTTGTTCATTATTCTGCTTCTCTGGAAGGTGGGTATCCTTCACGCACACACAACAAAACAGAAATCTTTTTGTAAGATGCATGCATGCTTTTAAGATTTCTCCAAGTATGAAAACAGTTTTTTTCAAATGCTCATTGAAAGACCTCTGCCACTTACTGTTGTAAGACCTCAGTCTTACATTTTGAGCTATTTTGAGCATTGCAGTGTAGCCTCTAAAGACCTGTTTTGAAGTACTTTACCGAATGCTTGGATGTTTTGAGGTGTTTATAGATGTTCTGAAGAGTTTTGAACAATGTCAGCCTTTAGGCTTATAACTCTGTCAGAAGTCATACCTGGGTTGCATCCTGCATTTATTCATTCACTTACTGTGACTCTGACAGGGAAAAACTTGGAATTTTCTTTTTATTTTTAAGAAAAGGAAAAAAATAATGCATTCACAAAGACTTAAGGTTTTTGTTTGTTTGTTTGTTTGTTTGTTTTTTCTCTCAGTTTGGCTTTTTCAAAAGAAAATACAAGATCATGATGGAGCAAGAAGATAGCAGCAAGAAGATGCTTCCTGCACAAGACTAAGCTGGCCAAAGCAGAACCCTCTGCATTCTGTCACCATCTTTTTGGAAATACCAGAGTCAAAGTCTGGCTAAGATGCAAAATGATTCTTGTTCCCTGAGCTGGGGTAGATCTATAGGACTCCAGACTTTGGGACTCCTCCAAGTTCCTGTTCTGACCATAGGGGCCCTGCGCTTTTGGGCAATCTAGTTGCGTGCTTGTTTAATTTGAGCTCACCACTCATCATAGAAGGGCTGTCTGGCGTTGATAAACTAGACTCCCCATGACATATTTTGCTTTAATGTAGAAATGCTAGGAAAAAATCAGCTTGGAGCCTGTTATATTGGATTATAGTCTTAATTGTGATGCTGAGTGGTTCTTAAAATGATTTTAATACTGAGTAGCTTCTGAATAGATTAAAATAGAAATAGATTAGTGGAAGCTTCCTATTCTGCTAGTTGCTAATGAAAATGCAGAGACAAGCATTTTGCATATAAGTGTATATACTTATATATGAGAATATATATAAAAATTTGTCTATTTTAATACAGTAGAGTATGTTCCTTGATATCTCTGGTTCTTGGAATGAGAAGTGTATATGTCGTGATTTGAATTTTGTACTTTACAGGGTCGTTTCTGGTTTTGCATTTTCAGTTGCTTTCAGATCCTGATATGGTCACAAATAAAAATTTGCATTATGGGCCTTATTACCAATTTAGACAGTCTCTTCCTGTATGAAAGGTCTCCTCTTGGCTTTTTCTCTCATGTTTGGCTAACCAAAAACCTCACAAATCTGATATGTATTTACACACAGCAGTAGAATAAACACAGATTTTTGTCCGGATCTTCAGAAGGCAAACTGTTTGCTATCTCTTTTGGCTTAACCAGTATTGCCTGATGGAAAGCTAAAGTTAACAAGCTGTGGTCTGCCTTTAAGTTTCCTTGTATAATTTGTGTTTAGTACTTGGATAGTACTATTAATATATCTCTTCAAAGCTATTACAGAGATCACCTTCATGATGTGTTAGGCATTCTGCAGGCTGTACAACTCTGGATATGTCCCACCTCTAAATTTGGCTGCCAAACAGGTGGAAGTTAAAGGTGCTAAGCGCACTGGCCTGCTTGCTTAGAGCAAAAGAGAAAACAACCAGAGCAAGGTATTAGCTGAGGAGTGTAAGGCCCCCATGTCAGTTTCAGCTGTACAAGAGACAGAGAGGGGGTAAGAATTTGTGCTGTCATCCAGCTCAGTCAACAGCAGCAGCCATTCTTTCCTGATTTTTTCTCTCTGGCTGATTGTAGAGTTCCTTGGAGCTGCATACAAGTGTGAGTCACTCCAAATCTGTTTACAACTGTCAGGGATTGAGACTAACTAGGAGAGAGTTCAGAAAAGAAAGTCTCATCTGAATCAAAGAACCACTTATTGCAGTTTTTTTTTTGATAACAGCTCTGTACCATTTGGAAAGAATGTGCTTTGTCTGGTCCAAATGGCTTTACTGTACCCCCTAACTGTTACTCCTTTTTTTTTAATTTAATATTTTTATTTTTTTTAATAAATTATTTCAAAAGACCCCTGCCTGTGTATAACACTTCATTTCCCAGGTAGCATTGCAGGTCTCTGGAGCTACTGTCCATCTTTCAGTCTATGTTTTGGTAGAACAGTCTGCATGTTCCTGAGTGAATGGACTTCGATGAGGCTTTAAGTACATGAAAAGCAGAATATGCTGAGTGGAGAGAGAATGCCTTTGAAGGGCTTCAGGCAAGCAAGCAGCTGAGTGACTGAGGTGGTAGCATTATAAAGAAGCCACCTACTTTTTCATAGCTTCCTTATTTATTCACTTACTAATTTATTTTTAAGTTGTGAGCCATGTTGGCTTTTCTTAGGAGAAGAAAATTTGTTGTCTGTTTTTTTCCACAGCTCTAGACAGGTCTTGTACCGAGCAACACTTGGGACAGATAGCTGTGCTGTTGTGAAAGGACTGCGATATACCAGCAGCTGTGCTTTTGCTGCCAGTCTCCCTAGGAGCCATCTAGCCCATCCTCCCTACCAGACCTTCACCGTTCCATACTAAAGTCCTATCTGTTCTGAAGCACCTAGAGATCTCTACAGTCAGATCACACTTCATAAGATTTTGCACAGAAAAAAAAAAAAAAGCCGTTGGTAGTTTTTTGATTACTTTCCCTTAGGAAAGATTGTTAATTGTATAAGTTTGTGCTAAGAATAAGGAGTTGCGAGAAGACTTTTCTCTTCTTGAGGCTAAACAAGCCCAGCTCCTTCAGCCAATCTTGTTATACTCTCTCTTCTTCATTTTTTTTCTTCTTCTTCTTCTAGGTTTTTCTCTGAATTAACTATCCCTCATTACTCAGATTCCTTTTGTTGTCCCTTAAGGCTCTCAAAGAGGTCAGTTCTTGCAGTGGGTTATGCTATTTTCCTTTTTAGATGTTTTTTCGTAAATGCATTACAGTGTTCTGTGACTTGTAATTTCCGATGAGTGCCATTCGATCATTTAATTCTTCACAATTGCTGTAGTAGATGCCAAACACATTTGCAGTAATTGGATGGCACTTAAGGGATTAGTGAAGACGGCCAAGATTTTTCAGTCATCCAAGCCACAGCTGGGTTTTTGTGCTGTTTCCATGGAAGTCTTGCTGTGTCTGCTTCTAAATTTATTTGTGATTTGCGTTTTGAATAAAATCCCCTGTGCAAAAGCCTTGTCAACATTGTGGCCCTGCTGCATAGGCCTGACTTTAGTACACTCTGACAGTGGCACAGTTATGCCATCTCCCTGGATGACAGAAGATTTGCAGGTGACACTTTTGGAGTCATTAATTGCCAGCCTCACGCATTAGCAGAATGTTTGGGGTCCAGGTGTGATGGGTGGAGAAGCTGCTGCAGACAACTGGGAGGCCTCTGAGCTGTGAGGGTCATTAATGACTGACCTTTGTACATCACACACATGTACAGGAAGAGTGCTGATCACCCATCCCCATCACACCATCTGTCTTAGCTTTGGTCCTGGCTCTAAATCATTCCAGGTTTGAACATTATCGTCTAGTAGGTCAGCTCAGCCTGACAGATTTTGGCTATTTTTTGCTGTGATATATAGCCAAAGAGTAGGAGGTGTGACAGTGGGTGTTGGCTGACAAGAATTGCTGCATCTGAGGTAGCTTTTTATTTTTTATCTTGAAGGGGAGGATGGATACATTTCGTAATGCTATTTTAATCAGGAGTGATAACAGCTGCTTATGTCTTTCTCATATGCCAGGAAGATTCACAAACCTTGGGTTATAATTCCTTCCATGTGGTCAGAAGCTGGCAGGTTCGTGTATTGGACTCTGGGAGTGTAGACAGCGTGGTGGTTAACAGGAGTAAGTAAAATGGAAGTCTGCTGTTCAGGAAAGCTTATCAGAAAAAGGGCATAAGTAGTTCTTCATTAAGCGCTGGGTGCTGACGTAAAAGAGCATCAGATAGGAGCAATGAAGTGCTTTGTTAGGCCTGAGAGCCTGTTGGGGCAGATTTACTTGGAGGTTAATTGGATTACACTCTCTCAAAAAAGAAATTTCCTGTCTCTTATTATAACAGGATGGATAAGCTGGAATGGAGCTGTGCAGCTGCTAGCGGGTTGCTTCGACACTGCCAGCTTGGCCAGAGCAGCTCCAGTACGTCCGTGCTCCGCTGCTCCCTGTGCTGTGGCTCTGTTTGAGTGTGCGTGGGACACATCAGCTGTGCAGGTAAGGGCTTAGAGCACCATCAGCCTCCAGAGCTAAGGCAAGCTCAGGTGCCGGGCTGGTTGGCTGAGGGGGTTGCTGTTGGAACCTTTTCCTATGTGGGTCAAGTCTAAGTACCGCGAATGTTTTCCTACAGCTGGAAAGAATTGCCAGTTGGTAATTCCAGAGAGGGAAGGGCAGAGGCCTCAGTCTTGGCTTTCTGGGTGTTTACGTGATGAAATTCTCCGCTGGCCAAAGGGGATGAAGGTTTCTCCTCAGCACTGGCTGCAAGGCAGGCAGCCTCTGCTAACAGCTCTCCAGCCAGGACCTGTTCTTACCCTGCCAGGCCAGGGATGATGCACCTTGGCAAAGAAGCAAAAAGGTGGTCGGTCAGGCATGTTTAGGAGTACACATTTCATTAAAAACATTTGTCTTTCAGGCCTTCGATTTAACATTCTCCTCTTACTCCCTAATGATGCTTTTATGGGCTGACTTTAGAAGCTAAAAATTACAGCATAGCACTGTGTAACACTGCCATTCCAGCTGTCATTGCGCTCAATGTCCCACCAATGGTTTATGTGCATTTTTACTGAATTTCTGTTATCTGAGAGTGCTAGCTGTCTCACAGGACAGGGCATGATGGGTTACTTTCATTAGATATGGTGTATTTTTCTTTCTCTCTTTGGTCCTATTCCTCAAGCACTTTCACTTCTCGGGCTGGGAGAGAGGAGTGAATGAAAACGACAGCTGATGATAACAAGAATTCCCGTACGCTATGTAGGATTTTCAAGAGCTGGGAGAGCAACCTGGAAAATTCTTCTTCTGGAAGCAATGAGCTGAATGAAAGAGACAATATATTCTAGAACTCCATCAGGCTTCCATTTTTCAGCTCTACAGATAGGTTTGGATTCTTCTGTGGATAATGACAGAAAGATTCTTCCACACATTACCTTTCTACAAGCCTCTGGCAAATAATATTCTTCCTAAGGTGAGGGGAGGGGAAAAAAAAAAAAAAAAAAAAAAGATCTGTATGTTTTTCTAGTAACTCCTGAAAGATTTCATTTTGGGTGTGCACAAGTGCCAGTTACAAGGACATATATTGAGGCTGATTTCTGTCAATTTTTCACTGGCAAGTAGTAATCTCTTTCTTATTTACACTGCAAAGTCACAGCAAGTATTAAAAAGGAAGTTGAATGGAACATTTTTCACTGCAGGTTGCACGCTTCTTTATTCTCAAACTCATTTTCAGAATGCAGGCTGATGTTACTGATTTCCTGTGCTTCAGTGTGCATGTGCTGTGGTTTAGAAGCAGTTTCCTCTTTCAACCTGCTGAACTCTTGCCCTTGTTTTCCTTAGATGTTGACCTAAAGGTATGATTACTGTGAGAAAGAAAAACAAAATGTTAATGGAGAGCTGACTTCTCCCTTTTCCACTGTTCATTTCCTTGCCAAAATAGTTTATCTCTTATTTACGTCCTCTGCTCCTTGCCTCCTTTCTATTTCAGTAGCTGCTCTGGCGCCTCTCTGGATGATGCATCTGCATTGCTCAGGCATTTGCTGCAGGAGCATATTCAGTGCTTCAGAAATGTCTGAGTGTTTTGTGACTCAGCTGTCATTCAGTTGGGAGCTGATGCTTTCTGTTGCACTTGATAGCCCAGTAAAGGGTGGATTGGGGATCGCAGAGAGCAGTAATGCCTAGAGAATGATCACTTGGAACTGAAAGAGAACAAGACAAGTGCCTAAAATGGGTACCTCCAACAGCCACTTGAGGTCTGTACTGGTCAGGATTGTCTGCTATTGCTTGGAAAATGTGTGGTCCCTTTTGGGCATCACTTAAAGGTAGCACTAGACCACGTTACTGGGTGGAATGTGAGATGTTTCTAACCTACAATGCCATAGAGACAGATGTGACCTTGGTACGTTTTGAATGTCACTATGTCAGGGCAGGGGTCTAAAGTTTAATTTCCACAGTCCCTTTACATGGCCTTTACGGGCTCATGACTGGACTGAAATCAGCTGTGGGTTGGATTAACACCAAAGAGCTACCGGCAGATGGAGAGAAATGTAGATGAGTAGCAGTCTGGGCAGACAAGAGATGTATCTTATACCTACATGTGAATAATGAGAATAATTAGTGACAGCAGTACAAGGAGTTACGTGCAGGTGTGTGTCAGGAATAAAAAGAGAGAGAACGGGAGAGTTTCAGCAGTGGAGGATAAATCCTCCCTGTGAGAATCTCCAGACTGAGTAAATAGCCCTCATGGGAAAGGAGCAGAATTGTTTGTTTTTCCATGGGAAATGGAAGTCCAATAGAGTCCAAGATGTTGGACTCAAGAAGGGAGATATCTTGCAGAAGAGATCCAGCCTGAGTCCCTTGAGAAGGACACAGAGAAACTGCTTTTCTTTGTCTGTAACTGATGGTTAGATTTTAAGTTATTTACTCCCTGCTTCATGAAGCTGCTTGTTTGAACAGCCCATGGATACTTTGAGAAACACGCCAGTCATCTTGCTTTCCAAGCAACAAAAAAATAAGGTCGTGAGAACTACAAGGTGATGAAATCAATAACTGCAAGAGCATGCCAGCAGCACTGTTGTCAGCAGAAGTCTTTTCCTGTGTCAAGTAACGTTCAGAATATTATCAGGTGCATCTGATAAAAATTGAAACTTCTTGTTCAAAAAGAGCAGTTGCAACTCTGCTTCTACTTGATGGCTCTAAAAAAAAAAAAAAGAAAAAAAGTCATTTTTTCATGCTCTTTTTCATTAGTGATCAAGTGTGGTTGACATCTTCAGGTTACGCCTGTAACAGGAACACTTTTCTCTCTAAGCAGCATTTTTTCTAACCTGTGTAAATCCATTCTCAGATTAATTAACCTGGAAAGTAATTGCAAAAACTCATAGCAGACCTATGTCTGTTCCACTGAGTTAAACCAGGCCAGGAGGCAACACACTATTTAACTCTTAGCATGGTTCCTGGTCTGACTGTAGCCTGTGCAGCTAGGCTAGCTCACCCAGACAGATAAGGATGTGTCTCCAGGGAAGATGAGGATGGAGAGAGGGGTCTCTAGACAGCACCAAGGGCTGACGTGTCTTCACTGATCCAATACTTTCTTTGTTCATGACTTTGAATACTCTTAGTGCAACAGGAGCAGTGCTGGAAGCAGTCATGAGCCATGAGGCACATAGCCCTGAGACACGGGGTGTGCTGCTGGGTGGCTTGTGCTTGTGGACTTGTCTGATTTAGGAGCAGGTGAGCAGAAGGTCAGCTCCTTCAGCCTGCATTTCTTCCATACTTGTTTCTGGCCCCAGTGACTGCTGTGGCCTCCTTCCTCCCTGCAGAAGTGTGTGTTCTTGGAGATTTTTATTTCCTTGGGTTATTAGATGTTGGAAGAGTTTTTGTTTGTGCTTCAGGCTTTCACAGAGAGGATCTCTGAAACTGCCAGTAGTGACAGTCTGGTCTGCAGGTAAAGAGGAGTAGATACGGTCATCAACCACCATTTGAGGAAGTGGGAACCCATGAACTCTTGAGTGAGAAAGAGGGCTCCAGGAGGAGCTTGGGAAGCAAAAAACATGTTTTGTGAGATTGGTGGTGCGAGGCAGAAAGATACTGCCCATGTGGAAGGAGCAGATAGGGAAAGGAGGGGTCCGGGTGAGCAGGAGGTGAGCAAGAGCAGCCTCTTGCCTCTGCTGAGGCTGAAGGGTGGCTGCAAAGTTTGGGAGGGGGGTTTGGGCTAACCCTGAGCCAGAAGGCAGAGTTCAGAGGGTGCCCGTGGGTGTCCCTCAGCAGCTTGTGTGTCGCCCAGGAGACTCCTCGGGGAAGAGCCGGGTGCTGAAATGATCTCGTGCCATGGGGCTGGCAATGAGGAGAGCAGCAGCCTCTGGGTTAAAAAGAGCTCACGGGCAGATTTCTGATCTAGTTTTGCAGTTGCTGGAGAAAGGTTTCTTTCACTTTGTGGTAGGAAACTCTAGGGATGGCTGTAGGATGAGGGACAAAATGAGGTATTTTGAGGATATTCATTATTAAACTGTTCGTGATTCTCTTGTGATTTGGAGCAATCTTGGCACACATTCACTAAACGTCTGATCCATCTGTGTAAGTTTGATACAGAATTTAAGGAGAATGAAAGGGAAAATGTCTACAATTCCATAAAACCTGGGATCTTGAGAAATGTTTCTCCCTAGGAAAAGAGTTGCTCAGGGAGGACGTGTGTGTGCTGGAGCAGCTCAGCTTGCTGCACTGTCCGCAGCCTCGATAACGTGGCAGTTGTGCACATCCAGCGGGTGGCTGTGACCCCTTCTCCTGACCTCTGTCCAGGTGTGTATCACAGGTGTGTGCTGTGAAATCTCAAGAGCCTTTCTGGTCCTGACCGAGCCCCCTGAGCTAATTGAGTGCTCAGGTGTGAACTAATTAGGTGCTTGTGCATGAATGCAGTAAGCCCTGCAGTTTATGCCTGATACACACCTCAGCTCTCTGACAAACACCTTGTAATAGATGCAGCCTCCTGGAGCAACCCCTGGGAGACATCTCCCATCAGTGCACATGTGTGGGATCCCCATGGAGTGGGCACACTCCAGTTCAGGTCCCAGCTTGCTGCTGGAGCTTCTCTTGGTGGGGAAGGTCAGCTCCTTTAGCTCAGATGCTGGAAGATGCTGGCAAACTTCATTTTCCTCCTCAAAGCTCATTCTGTATCCTCCCTCCTTGGTTAAATAATAGTCATTTCATGTCCTTGATTAGGAATCATCTCTTGTACTACTGGCTAGTAAACAACTCTCATCTCAGTGAGGACAAAATCCATTCCTCTCCCTTTGCTATTGCATCAGAAGGTATGTTTTGTACCTAAATGCACCTAGCTCAGCACTCGCTGTGCATTTGGACAAGACTCGATGGTGATTGATCCCTTAATTACATGCAGAATTTATTAGTTTCTTAAATTGTTTTGTTTGTTTGTTTGTTTGTTTTGTGGGATGATGCAGTAGCCAGGCAAGTATTTCGGGTGGCTGTTAGGGACCCAAGCTCTCATTGCTCATGCAAATGCTTAAGAAATTAAAAACTTAACCAGGTGTTTTGCCACCATGTGAAGGCTGAAGGCAGGCTTTAGTTCTTACCAGGGAGACACTGTGGCTCTGTCACCTTGAATGCCTTAACGTGGCTTCATGCTATTAACGTGTCATTATAAACACCTGCCGACTGGGGGGGGGAAATGAAACGCAGGAGCAACACCGAGGTGGGGGCTTCCCCAGAGAGTAACTCATCTGGAAAGCAGCCAGGGGAAGATATCGTGTTAGTGCAGCTGCCAGTTTCGAACCTGAGCGCTGCTGCCAGCGAGCAGCTGACAGGAGGGAGGAGATCAGCCTCTCGCTCGGAGGGGTTGGTGTGTCAGGTTGCCATGCAGAGCACGTGTGGGTAACGCAAGCAGGCAAACGCTGCTCCCTGCCTCAGCCACCGGTGGGGAGCGAGCTGGGAGGATGGGGCAGGTGGCTTGGAAGGGTTTGTTCCTCTCGCTTTTTGATTATAAAACGGAGAAATACGTCATTGCAAAGAACAAGAAGGTGGGGATTCTCTACCGAGTGGTGCAGCTCTCCATCCTGGCTTACCTGGTGGGGTAAGGATTGCTCTGTGTGTGATGTGCTGCTGTGGTTGCCTTTGCTTGCTGTGCAGGGAGGAAGATTGATGTAGGGTGCTCTGCATACAGCGACAGCTCGCTGTGGCAGTGCGGATAGTTAGGTTTATTTATAACACTGCTGTTTTGCAATGTCTAATGAACTCATACCTGATTTTTCACCTGCTAGGGATTGCTAGATTCATCTCTACCTTCCCGATTAGTGCAGTGTTAAAAATAGAGCAAATGGCACTGGGGCTCCGTACTGCATTATTTAAGCCTTTATTTCTGTATTTGGTAGGAAAGCTGCCAAACCTTAATACTTGACTCACTGGAGACAATAGCATTTAGGGCCATGGTTGCTGAGTCTTGGGACAAACCTGGCTTGTCTGCATGGCTGCATGACGTGCTCAAGTCTAAATGGGAGGGAACCAAGCAGCAAAGTGGCAAATGTCTTTGTGGGAGTGGGCTGCAGCAGCCAGGCTTGTGGAGGATGAGGCAGTGTGAATGTCAGCTGCCTTGCATTTATTTCTGAGCTGGGCATGGAGATGGCTACACCATCACTCAGAAAAGGCCCAGTTCTGCCGGAGAAGTGACATGTAACAAACACAGCCGTACTCCTTGCAGCTTGCAGGCTGTGATGTGGGATTATCCAGCCTTCGTGAAGCCTCTGATGTTGCTTTTTGCATTTCTGGGGCTTTTCAGAATGTGATTCATAAGCCTCACCCTCACTGTCTGTGCTTTTGGGTCCCCTCACCTTTCTTTCACCTCATGTTTTCATCGATTAAATATAGCAGGGTCATTTTGGCATGCTGGCTTTATTTATAGAAAGGTGTACAGTTTCAGAGCTTTACTTAGCAGGACAGAGATGGAGCCTCAGCACTCTGGTATGTATTAGCTGCTGAAGGAGGAGTGCTGCAGATAAGGTTGCTGAGCACACATCCTCCATTCAGGAGGGACA